AGGGTTCACTGTATAAAACATGCCAAAATGTAACTTGTAGTTAATGTCCTATAGCACACCTCTCCACTGCCACCACCTCGCCTTCACATAAAGGAGCCCAGTGGGACCTGGGTTCACAGGACACAACTTGTAAAACATTGATCATAAGGGTTTTTAAATAAGAAAAGGGACTTAGGTTGAGGGATTCCCTCAAAATTTGCTTCTTACTTCTGACCCTCTGTGATCCTGAATCAGAGTCCCTAAGTGTTGCAGATGGTCCCTCACTGCCATCAACTTGGTGACATGTGGTGAATCCAAAGGGCGGAGGAGAACTGCCCCGAGGGTTCCCAGGCCATATCTTTAGGGGGTACAAAGCATCATCCTTCTCCCATGGCGTGGCAGGTGAGTTTGAACTCCTGACCTTGCTGTGTAGCCCACTCCAATAGTAACCAAAAGGTTGGCAGTTCAAGCCCACCAAAGGACATTTTGAACAAAGGCCTGCTGATCTGCTTCCTAAGGACCACCGCCTTGAAAACCTCATGAAACACAGTTAGAGTCTCAGACATGAGGCCACCACGAGTTGGAATCGCCTCGATGGCGACTGGTCTCCTTTTCTTAGTGTGACACTGAATAAGGCACCGTAAAATACCAAGAACGCATTGCTTTTTCTTTGACTCACCCTCTGGACTTGACATGGTTTGAGATGCTATGGGAAAACAGAACTATAAATCATGCTTACTGTCTTCAGATTGAGTCTAGCTGGGAATGTTAGGTGCAAGTGAAGTAACTGGAGGTTTGGATAGTACATCCCCTTTGGGGTCTGCGATGGAGCCCTGGCAGCGTAGGGGTTACATGTTTCGCTGCTCTCCTCTAGGCCCGCAGTCTGACACCACCGGGCACTCCTCAGGAGAAAGATGGGGTTTTCTACTCCCCTCAGTAGTGACAGCCTCTGAAACTCCCAGGGGCAGTTCCACCCTGGCCTGTAGGCTGCTTGAGTCGGCCTCGACTTGATGGCAGGGAGTTTGGTCTGGTTGGTTGTGGTTCTGAGGAGGAGAAAGTTCAGAGCGTACATTTTTGGGGAAGGTTTCATTAGACATGGTTCTCAACCTTCCTAATGCCGCGACCCTTTAATACGGTTCCTCGTGTTGTGGTGATGCTCAACCATAACATTACTTCCGTTGCTACTTCATAACTGTCATTTTGCTGCTGTTATGAATCAGGCGACCCCTGTGAAAGGGTCGTTTGACCACTAAAGGGGTCACAACCCACAGGTTGAGAACTGCTGCATTATAGAGCAAGACAACTAGGCTTTGATGGATGGGTGGGATTTGACAGGGAATCTCCCTGTCAATCACAGGGGGTCACTTACAAGAAGGTATAGACATGAAATGAGACTAACCATCCTGGCATGGATTAAGGGATATTTGCGACATGGTCTATGATGGTACCTGAATAAGCAAGGAAGGGTAATTTGAGGAGACTTGTTATCAAGTACTGTTCACTTGGTTCCAACTGAAAGCATCCCTGTGTGCAGTACAAGGAAGCACTGCCGGGCCTTGCCCATTCTCACAATTGTTATGTTTGAGCACATTGCTGTATATTGACTGTGGTAATCCATCTGGTCCAGGGTCTTCCTTGTTCACAGCCCTTCTACTTGACCAAGCGGTATCTTTTTCCAGGGACTGGTCTCTCCTTAAGACATGTCTCAAATATGTGAGGCTAAGTCTCTCATCCTCTCTTCTAAGGAGCCTTCTGTCTATAAGGAATCTTTAAAGGCATAGAGCAAAAAATTAGATGAGATGAAGTACAAATTAGGGTTCCATTAAAGATTCTCAAATATTGGGCTTCCAAAATGAAAACAGAGTTTAGGAAATGAATTGTAGTGGTGTGACAAAGGATAAATAAAAAGGGAAAGTAAGAAAATCCTATCAATTTCTCAATTTATGTGTAATAATAATTATATGCTAATGGAAACCAATGTTATTCAATAAAATTGTTTTCATTAATAAAAGGTCCAAATGAAGCTGAAGAATTCCAACTTGAGGTGAGTGGACTGCTAGGAGAAATGAACTGCCCGTACCTCTCGCTGACATCCGGGGATGTGACCAAGCGCCTTCTCATGCAGAAGAACTGCCTCCTCTTGCTCAGTACGTAATGGTGACTCACACTGGCTGTGATTTCCTATTTACGTCTCCTATGGCTGTGCTTTCTAGTTAACTAGTTGTTATTGCTTCGTTATGGATCTCATTAGAAAGACCCACCCCACCACCCCTTTTTTATCTTTCTTTCTAAGATTTACATCTAGGAGGTGGTGGGCCTGGGGATTGGCGGCATTGTCTTTGTTGTGTTCGTGGATATTGTTCTTTCTGAATTCGACTTTGTTAGTACGCCAGCTGTGGAGCCTCACTCACCAACAGCAGTGCTGGAGTGTTGTCCAACTGTGATCTTTAAACCCTAGCTATCTGGACTAGAAACAGAAAATGAACTTAGAAGATAGTATTGGAATAACAAAGCTCTTTTTTTTTTTTCAATCCTCCAGAGAGAGTACGTATAAACGGTAAACGATGTAAATTTAATCACTTGAAGCATGTTGTGTTGTTCATATTTCTTTGTGGCTGGGTGATTTGTTTAGGGTCTTGCCTTCATTTGGAAAAATGTCAAACTAAAATTTTCTAAGACGATATTTGGATTGTTTCCGTACTTGCTGATTATGAGAAATTCTTCCATGCGCTTAATGTATTGGCGACCATTTCTCCACTTTGAAAAATAGTCAGTGGATTAAAATTTCATTGCTTTATGTAAAACCTCCCAGTGCTCATAACCAATAGTCTTAATACTTTTAGCATTTGGAAACACATTTCTTTTATATTAACTAAGTATTATAGTCCTAAAGACCATCTTAAATCAGGATTTTAAATGTTTGTCCTTGTTTTTAAACACTATTCTGTGGGTTCTAAAGAATAAGCCAACTCCAGTTTGGAAGGTTCAATTTTTTTAAATGTAGCTATTGTACTTTGGCCCTAAGTAACCCCAGAGTGACTGTCTTAATACCCTCTTTGTCCAATGATTGTTAAGAGGGGAGGATAATGTCAGATTACCCAATAAGCTAAGTAAGCCCAGGCTTACTGGTGCTTATTTACTAATTTGTAGCAATCTTCCCTTTTTCCCACCACATCAAAGATGCTGTTTCTAGGTGTGAATAGCCACTGTCTCTTAGTCTAGCCCTCCTTCCTACAGAATCAAAGTTGAGTCTCTCTTCAAATGTACCATCCCGACAGGGGCCGAGATCCCAGAGAACAAGGTAACCATGGGCTTGCTTACTTATCTGTAGTGACCAGTTCCATATATTTTCACGAGGGAGATGGTGAAATTGTGTGCTATGGATTAGTAAGCAAACACAAGAAAGCCCATGAGTATCTTGCTTACTAGGCTATCTACCCCTGCTGGTGGGGAATCCTGCATCGGATTCTTAGTAGCTCTCAAATGAACTATTTGCTGTAACCATGTCCAGCGGCCTGCTCCCGATTCTTCCTTTGTTGTGCTGCTTCTCTTTACAATAATATCTAGCACCGAATATGTTTTCTTACACAGGAAGAATCACCTGTCTGGACCTTCTTAGACATGGCTCTGAATAGCTAATTCGTCTCAGTGTGGTTTAGTCTTTTTTAGCACTGATCTTTATAAGACCAGTTTGAATGCACGGTAACTCTTTCTTGAATACTTTAAAACTCTTCCTTATATCTTAAACCGGACTGCATTATTTTGTGCTCAGGGTCTCAATTATAAACACCAGTGTGAGTGCCTTCTGTGACAAGAGGGTGTCTTGTGATTTGAACATGTCCGAACACCGTATTACGACCTCTGGGAGCCTGCTTCTGGTCATCCTTGTCACCCTGCTGCTGCTGGCAGAGGCTGAAGGAGTGGGCAGAGCAGCAGCTGAGAGGGCAGCGGCAGCAGTTGTGCTAGAGGCAGCCAGTGAGAAGGGAGCAGAGTGCACCGCACCCTGCCTGCTGTTTTCTCTGCCTGAGCAGTAGGGGCCGCTTGGGTCCCACACTGCTGCCCACCAGACAGAACCTCCCAGCCTAAGCACAGAGCCACATCTTCACCTGCCTGGATCTAGCCTTCCTGTGCTCCAGTGCTGGAAGAGTATGGATTTAGAGTCTTTTAAGCCAATGGGGAATGGACAGTAAGCCACACATACCTGTACTTTATTCATCGTGCCTAACCATAAAGGCTATTTATTCAATGTAACTCCGCTCTTGGAGTTCTTCGTACAGAAACACATCCACACACTCCTTTCCCCCCTCTTCATCTCTGTGCTGTTTATTTCTCAGTTATTTCCCATAGTCTCCATCCTCGCTCTCATTCTAGGGTCTACGTGCACACACTCACTCTCTCTAAATCTTTCTCTTATCTGCAAGTGTTCGTTAACACATCTTGATGCTATGTTTCTGCTTCTTTCAGCACCTTTACCTCACTCATTTGATTGCCGTAAGCATGTTTAGGGCAAATAATAGACCATTTGCCTGTGAATTGTTAGAAAAGTCTAATAGTCTTCGGGCGAGGGACTGAGTAACGTGGGTCTGGTGAAGGGCTTTGCTCGCTCTTTGGGGTCCCCCGCTGCGCTCTCGTGTCCCCGTCAGGACAGTCCGGCAAGCTCTCTGAGCTCCACGAAGACGAGGGGCCGGTCCTCCAACACACGCAGTCCTCGTTCTCCCCTAGATTGTCAGTAGGGCCACAGGGAAAGCTTTTTGATGGTAATTATATTAGTGAACTCATTTTGAGAATGCCCAAGCTATTTAGAGTACCAGTTCATTCGATCTGGTTCATATGACTTCCCAAAACAGGTTCAGCAAACTTTTTCTTAAAGGACTGGACAGTGTGTGTTTAGGATAGAGTCTGTTTTTGGAGAGATGAGAAATATTTTAGATCCACATGCGGTGCCTGTCACAACCTTCGGTGTTGTAGTGTAAAACCAACCATACACTCAGTATGGTGGTGTTCCTTCCAAACTTTATTCTATTCTATCTTTATTCTATGAATGTTGTAATAGTTTTCATCCTGTATAATCCCCATACGTTTTCATAAGTACACTTACCTATATTTTTTGTGTTGATGACTTTGATAGCAGTATTTTTTTTTTGGCCAGCACAGTTGATGTCTTCATTTTGGTGCCTTCTGATGCTGCGGTTTGGTCCCCTATCTCCCCTCTAGTTTCTAAAGTACTGTAGCTCCCCTCCCACCAGAAGTCCTCCTGCTCTGACTGCTTTCTGTCATCCTGGAAGAAGTCTCCTTTTCTGCCGAGAAATAACCCTCAGGATATTCGGTCCCAGCCCAGGAGGCATGTGCCCACTCGGGTGGGCAAGGCTGGTTTGCACAACCACACCGATTTCACCCCACTGCCCACGCTTGGGTAATTGAATCTCCTGCCCCTGTGTCAAGCGTGATAGCTGCAGACACAGAGGGGTCACACATCTCTCACGCAGGTGACACGGGTCGAAATGGATCCCAGGTGCACTGTGGGGCCAGGACAGTGCACACACCCAAACCATCCTGCCACCTGGCTTCACTTGGAACCGGCAGTTTGGGATCTGGGCACATGCAGACAATGATTTGGGGGGGGACCAGCCAATGTTTGTACTGTGGGCAGCCCTGTCGCTAGCAAGGACAGGCCTGAGGACAAATTGGCTACAGGGGCTCCTCAGTTCTCAAGCCTGGCCCCGAATTGCCCAGAGCAAATGCAGTCTCAATTGTGTGTTTTCTTTTAATTCCCAAGTACTCCCAGTCTCCATTCAATCCTTCTTGCCCATGGCTTGTATATACCTTTGTTATACAAATGTGATCAGAAGTAACATTTTCTGACTTTCTAATGAAAGTAAATGAGGCCACAAGTCATTTCTGGGACTGTAATGAGGCATGCATGCCATGCCAGAACTTGTTCACATAATTTTGTCATATCCATCCAGTATGTGTGTGCGCTTCATTTACAAAGGCGGACTATGCAGAAAATGTGCAAAGAGTAACCATTTTCATAGTGAAAGAGATTTTACTGTTTTAATATCTACATGTTGCTTCAGTTTACTATATTGAATATGTTTAGATTTTTGTTAAATGTATTTAAAATGAAATAGATCTCTATAGAGCCGAACGAGAGACGATTTGCCAAAAGAGTGAGCCCATGTTTTTCTGGTACTATATCTCTGTGGTAGGAAACGTGATTGTCAACCTGACTCTACTTCTGTACTTCTAATCAAGTGTAAGGGCCTTGAATATGTATTTTCCCAAAACTACCTCTTTGTGTCATCTGAAGTGGCTTATGTTGTCAGATAACTTGAGACTCTGACAGTCTAAGGATTATTAATGGACTTTTGTAAAAATATGTGTGACTGGGAAGGTGAAAGGAAGTGGATTGAATGTTTAAACCTTAAAGTGACCTATGTGAAGGCAGACTGCAGCCCTCAAACCTGGCTGATGTCAATACCTGGGGGAGTGATTTGGAAGGTTTTTCTAAGGGAAGGCTGGGAAGTTTGAGAGCAGGCCTGCTTATGTGCACGGGTTTGATTTGAATACAGTGGCCCATTACGTCGCTGGAAATCATGGGAAGGCACTTTCGAGGGCTGACTGCCTCCCTACTTTTCTCTGTGTAGCCAGTGTGATTTCGGTTAGACCAGTTCCAGGTGGGCTTACCTGAGTCTGGGGACGCAAGAGGGCAGGGTGGTATCACGGGCCCTCACAGCGGTGAGCAGTAAACACAAGGAGTCTTTCTCCCCAGCACTGAAAACTAGGCACACGTCATCTTCTGCAAATATGGTAACAGGTGCCAGCCCTCGTTCTAGAGCTTTCTTAATGATATAATTCAAGAACGCAAGCTTTTAGACATGACCTACTTCAAGCCTTTGGTTTCAAAGAAGGTTTGCTTATTTCTAGATCAGTCTTTGATGATTACATCTTGATTTAATACCTAAATGATAGAACTGGTCCATGTTATTTATCTTGTTTTTCCCCATTCTTACAGCTTTAAAAATTTTAAGTCATAGATCTAAAGTTGTGACCCAAGACTTACTTCATTATAATGCATCTCATTTTGAAATCTTACTCTGTTTACTTCAGCATACCTCATCTCAGAACTAGAAGCTGCCAGAATGCTCTGTGTGAATGCTCCTCCCAAAAAAGCTCAAGAAGGAGGTGGTAGTGAAGTCTTTCAGGAGTTGAAAGGCATATGTATTGCTCTGGGAATGTCCAAGCCTCCATCCAATATAACTATGTTCCAATTCTTCAGCGGGATTGAAAAAAAAGTAAGATTTTTAGTACCAGATTATAGTATATTAAAGGGATCGCTGTGCATTTGTTTGATATGAAACACTTCTGTTAGTTTTTCTTAGTAGGAACCTAGTAGACTATTATTCAATAATTGTTATTGAATGAACTTTGTGTTTTAAATCTTATGTATTTGCATTTTAAAGATAAAATATTTCCGTTGGTGTTTTGTTTTTTAACACACACTAGCTATTTATGAAAAATGAATCTGTACTTTTTTTGCTTTATAAGCTGAATAAATGGATCCTGGTGGCATAGTGGGATATGTGGTGGGCTACAAGGTCAGAAGTTCAGAACCACCAGCTCTTCTAAGCATAGACTTTCTGCTCCCATAAAGATTTGCAACCTTGGAAACGCACAGGGGAAGCCCACTCAGTCCTATAGGGTCTCTGTTAGTTGGAATTGATTAAGTGGAGTAAGGTTTTATTTTGAAGGAATATAAAAAGATTATAGTCCTTTTAAAAACCGTCCTTGAACTTTAGTACCATTGATGGGTTTTGGGTTTTTTTTTAGCATTAAAAGTTACCAGTCTCCTTCCCACTAATTTGACAGAAAGGGATGTTAACCCAGTCACTTTAGACCTTATTTAGTGTGATTTGTCAAACGAGATTCATTGACTACTGACTTAGTTTTAGTACGGGGATCGGCAAACTGCAGCTTTCAAACCATATGCAGTCCTTTCCATACACGCATGTGGCTCTGAGTTAAAATTGTAAAATTTTAAAGGATAATTATTCAGATAATGGTGATTTCATTTGTTCGTAAAATATATTTATGGCTCTCAAATAATTCTTAAATCATTGTGAGGGACAGGATTAGCTCTTCTGTCTCAAAAGTTTGTAGACCCCAGTCTAGTATATAAAAATCAGAACTAATTCTGAACTATGAATTATGGGTCGCTAAGATCTTTTATACAACCCATTAGGAACAAATAAATTAAAAGGTGACTGAATAGAAGAGAATAGTATTTGCTGTAGCAGGGGCCTTTCCATGTACATATCTGCTGGACTCAAGGATTGCTACATTTGAATTATGGGATAGATTAGCTCTAGGTTACACACGTTTACCACTACATGCTAGCAGCAGTGTGTCGTAGTCCAGGTTTTCTGTCTGTTCAGTGGCCCATTCATCAGGTATTCCTTGCATGAGTACCTGCGCTCTGAGACACACTGCAGGCACGTGAGAAGTGAGATAAACCAGTGTCTTTTCATATAGGTAGGGTGTCGGCCTCTCAAAGCATTCTCTACTTTTGCCTTTGTTAGGGATCTTCTTTTGATGCAAGATATGATGAGAATTGGGGATGAGGAGGAGGTTGTACTTTACCATTAAATTTGTTCATGTATATGCTTCTATTTTTGTGTCAGTTAAAGGAGACGTTAGCAAAGGTTCCACCTAATCATGTGGGGAAGCCGCTATTGAAGAAACCCATGGGACCAGCCCACTGGGTAAGTAGTGACTCATCAGCTTATGTCAAATGTGTGAAAAGTCATGTTTCATAATTTTTCATGTCAGCATTTATCATTTGTTTTCTTCCCAAGATATGTTTTCTAAAATGTAATGTGTAGAATAAATGCATTTTTATTCCTCAAGATTGATGGACAGTAACTTAGTAAGATTGGAGGTACTTGGCTTAGAGATAAGGTTAGTGACTCCTACCGAGCCATGCTCCACAGAGGGAAGATGAAAGATGCGCCTTTCTGCTCCCCTGGTCTCGGAAACCCACAGGGATAGATCTGCTCCATCGCTGTGAGCTGTAATCCACCCAGTTGAGTTTTTTTTTAACTCATGAAAAGTCTAAGCATGTTTCTAATTGCCAAGAGTGTTGTCTGTAAGACAAAAAAACCAGCATTGGGCTAAATACACATTATGTGTTTCATATGTTCCGTTTTACATTTTGAGACTTAATCTTATTTTGCCTATCTTTTCATTAACTGTTAGTTATATGTGGAAAGAATTACATGTTCAAACTTTTGGGGATACAGTTACGAATAAAATAGATACATGTTCTGCCCATTTGTGTCAAGGGCACAAACAGATTTAAATTCCAACTGTTCCTTTTCATTCCAGGACAAAATTGAAGCAATTAACCAAGCCATAAGCAACGAATACGAAGTACGGAGAAAGCTGCTAATAAAACGTTTGGATGTCACCGTGCAGTCTTTTGGCTGGTCTGACAGAGCTAAGGTACACATTAAATAATTTAAATGAGCAGCAGAGTATTTATAGACAATGATCCCTAAGCATTCCTAGCAGAGTTTCGATAAGTATTAAAAGGAAAATACATAGGAGAGACACATAGGGGTTTTTCTTTAGTGCATTAGCATTAGCAAATCTTTGAACTATTCAGCAATACTAAAGATGTTTATCCTTCAATTTATTGAAAGTTTTTAAGGAAACAGCATTTTGTAGACCATTCTGGGAGTCCCCGCTGGGGAGAGAAACAATTAGTGTCTGTCAGTTGCTAAAGTAATATATTGATTTCAAATTGTTGATTTACTATAGGCTAGCAATTTAGTTTTAATTTTATTAAGTTAGAAATACTGGTTTTTGTATGACTTAACTACAATGATCGATTTACGGAGATTTGGAGAATTTGGTGAGATTCGTTTTAGTGTAACTTAGATAATACAGGCGAAGGTCTTGGTTGTTCAACAAGTATTATGTACTGCACATGGGATCACCAGGAGTTTGAATAGCCCTGACTGCAAGTGCTTGCTTAGTTTTGGTTTAGTGGAAATGAACTAACACATTGCATTCTTTTTATCCTCTTCTAACCCTGAGGTTGAACTCTTCCCTGAGTTGGTGCTTTGGCTGATCCAGATGTGCGAGCCTTATGTGTTCCCTTCATAATTCATGCACCTCTGGAAATAGAGTTTCCTCTGAATTTTACTTGACCCATAAAAGAGGTTTCCACTTAGCTCTTTAGTTATATTCCTAGTTTGTTGCTAGAAACTAAACCCGAGTGCACTGTTGCCGAGTCAGGTTTAGCTCATAGCAACCCCACGGGACAGAGTAGAACTGTCCCCAGGGTTCCAAGGCTGTAAGTCTTCACAGGAGCCGACAGCTCTTTCTCCTGAAGACTTGCCAGTGGATTTGAATTGCTGAGCTCTTGGTTAACAGCCCGCTGCTTAGGGCATTGTGTCACCCCCACTGCTCTGTTTACCCTAAAATCTCAGCCTGAACTCAGTTCTATCAGCCCGTTCCATTGCTGGAGTAGATAGCTGCAATACATTAGCGCTGGGAGGTATCTGGAGGTCAGTCTTAGCCTTCCTCATTTTGCATGCATGTAGACCTCCAATAAAAGAAAATGTAGACCCCCCCACCCCCAATAAAAGGAGACTCTGCCTAAGATCTCCTCACAGATATGAGCAAATTCCAGGAGTAAATTATGCTTCCTTCTGTGACTGTGATTTGGGAAATGCCAGTCTTCTGTTACCGTGTTTATTTATTTTACTCTCAACGTGGTAGGTATCCTTCAAAAAAAAAATAACTTGCAGTGCTCAGCTAGAAAAACACAACTGTGATGGATCACAGTGCACTGGACAGACAGGTGTGGTCTTGATGCTGCCAGTGCTGGGCTGACCAGCAGAGGAGGGCTGGTGTGCCTGAGCTCAGGCTGTGCTGTCATTGTCTCATCTTTACAGTGAGCGGGCTGGACACCTGTTTAAACCATGGTTTCTTTGAAATGTGTGTGTTTGCAGGGAGCATAAGGAAAGACTCTTCAGATAAATTTGCACAGCGATCTTTTGGTTTATATGATGAAATTGAAATACTCATCTCTTTGACATTTCCTTTCATTCAGTCTTATTTGTAAGGAAAAGTGAGAAAATGTTGCTGCTAGCATTCTAGATCCTGTATGCATGGACTTTTATATATGTTCAGTAGAAGGCTGCAGACTAGTTCTCCCAGTATTACAGCTGTCTTAGTCTCATTAGGGCGCCTTCAAAGAAAAATAACAACGTCCATTTGAACAGTGGCTTCCCAGGGCGTCTGATACTCCAGCCCCAAATTCACTGCCATCGATTCGATGACTATGGGACAGAGTAGAACTGCCCCTGTGAGTTTCCAAGACTGTAACTCTACAGGAGTTGAAACCCCATCTTTCTCCCGAGGAGCAGCCAGGCTGGTGGTTTCAAACTGCTCACCTTGGGGATCACAGCCCAACTTGTACCCACTACGCCCTCAGGGCTCCGAGGGCGTCTTATAGGCCAGATCAATCCAAGATAGGTCAGCCCAGAAGTTTACGGAGATTATTTTTAGGATTCCCAAGGGATCATCTTGATAGATTCTTCTCAAAAGACATGGGAAGCTTATTAGGAAGAATTTTTCAGAAAACGGAAAACTTCCTTTGGTGGAGAACATCTTTAAAAAGCCATCATCCCTGGTAAAGTGGAGGGGCAGCAAAATGCGGAATGCCCTCCACAAGGTAGACTGACACTGGTATTAGCCGTTGTGAAGGTGGGGCAGGGGCGACCGTTGTTTCATTCTTTTGTACACAGAGGCGCTATGACTTGGAACCGTCGAAACGGCACCGACCGACAACAACAAATCTAAGAGCTCAGAGTTCTCACGGGAAGGGGAGAATTAGATCAACTTCATGACACCCAATCTATCTCGCGGTCTTCTAGCTGATTCTGACCCTGTAGAACAGAGTAGGCGGCCCCTTGGAGCTTCCTAGGCTGGAAATCCTTATGGGAGTGTCTTTCTCCCAGGGAGCACTGGGAAAGTTTGAACTGTTGACCTTGTACTTACCAGCCCAACTCATAACCCCCCTTAGAGAGATGGAAACCCTGCCCCGAGGCTATAGAGGTTATGTGGAAAACCAATCACTTTATTCACATTGTGATTTTTTTGTTTAGTAAAGGCGCCCCAGACTTTGCAATACTGAATAACTCTCTTATGTACAGGCTTAGTAAACATAACTTGGCATTCTCCTTGTTCACATAATGTAAACATTTTTCGTGTTTCTACCTAATTTCCTCTTATTTAATTAATGGCTTCACCAAAATTTATTCCACCAGCCCTACTGTTGTACCTTTTTTCATATTTTTTCTTTCACTGAACTTACTGAGCATACCACTTTTACTGTTATATAGTCATTTTTATGTAGGTATTCTATCTGAGGGAACTTTTGAAAGTTGGGGAAATTGAATTAAAAGGTCAGGGAATTCTTTTTTTAAATCATTTTATTGGGGGCTCGTACAACACTTATCACAATCTATACATATATCCATTGTGTCAAGCACATTTGCACATTTGTTGCCATCAGCATTCTCAAAACATCTGCTTTCCACTTGAGCCCTTGGCATCAGCTCCTCATTTTTCCCCTCCTTCATGAACCCTTGATAATTTACAAGTCATTATTATTTTCTCATGTCTTACACTGTTCAGCATCTCCCCTCACCCACTTTTTTGTTGTCCAGCCTCCAGGGAGGAGATATGTAGATCCTTGTAATTGGCTCCCCCTTTCTACTCCACCTTCGCTCCACCATCCCGCTATCACCACTCTCACCACTGGATCATCTGGCCTGGATTCCCTGTGTTTCCAGTGCTTATCTGTACTAGTGTACATCCTCTGGTCCAGCTGGCTTTGTAAGGTACAATTGGGATCATGATAGTGGGGGAGAGGAAGCATTTAAGAACTAGAGGAAAGTTGTATGTTTCATCGTTAGCTACACTGCACCTTGACCAGCTCATCTCCTCCCCACGACCCTTCTGTAAGGGGATGTCCAGTTGCCCACAAATGGCCTTTGGGTCCCCACTCTGCACTCCCTCTCATTCACAATGATGTGATTTTATGTTCCTTGATGCCTGATACCTGTTCCTTTCAACACCTCGTGATGACAAGCTGGTGTGCTTCTTCCATGTGGGCTTGGTTGCTTCTGAGCTAGATGGCCGCTTGTTTACCTTCAAGCTTTTAAGAATCCAAATGCTTTATCTTTTGATAGCTGGGCACCATCAGCTTTCTTCACATTTGCTTATACACCCATTTGTCTTCAACGATCGTGTCGGGAAGGTGACCATCATGGAATGCTAGTTTAATAGAACAAAGTGTTCTTGCATTGAGAGAGTACTTGAGTGGAGGTCCAGTGTCATCTGCAAACTTTACTCCTAACATATAGATGAGTACATAGTTCTATTCCCCTCTCGTTATATATAAATCTATTTACATATGTACATGCCTTTATTTAGACCTCTATAAATGCCCTTTGCCTCCTAGTTCTTTCCTCTGTTTCCTTTTACTTTCCTCTTGTCCCACTATCTTGTTCAGCCTTCATTTGGGTTTCAGCATTTCCTTTAGGTTACATTGCTCTTGCTCAAGCCCTACCAGCCTCCTACACTCTCTTCACTGCCGACTTTGGACCAGTTGTTCCCTTGTTCCTGAGTCTGTTAGCACCACTTCCTCTCCTCTCCGTTCCCCTTCTCCCTTGTCCCCGGAGCAGTCAGCGTGGTGGTTTTCTCCTCCAGATTGTTTATCCAGGTATGTTCCCTTGATTCTCTCTGCTTTGGGTGGTTCAGACCAAGCTGCTTCCCCACCATGTGACCCCAGAAATGTCCTCTGCGCAGTCTGCTCCAGTAAGGGGACAGCGTGATACCTGCTGTTGTCATTTACCCAGTCCCCTCTGTGTCCCATTAGCTCCCAGCAGGGACTTCATCCTCTGAATATCCTGTGCCAGCGTGGGGCCCAGTCAGACTCTCTTTCTCTTCCCTTCCCCACCCCACTCCCCGCCTGCCTCCTTGCTGGCCCCTCTCCCCAACCTGCTCTCCGCCACACCCACTTCCAGGAAGGGGTCCGCTTGACCCTGGTGGGGCCAGCCTTGTAGCTCTCTTTTCACGCACCCTTCCATGTGGCCACACTGTCCTCATGGTTTGGTGCTTCATGGTAGCCCCTTCCAGGTTCTGTGGAGACAAGACCAGTACCCTCCCCCTGGGTGGATTAGTGCCCTGCTCCCTCTGTTATCATTTCACTTTCAGTCCCCTCTTTTTCTCCCTCCCCCCTCCATCCTTTTCCCATTACTGTGTTGGACCAACATGTACCTCCTTGGGTTTGGTCCAATCTCTTCACACTTCCTTGTATTCTCAACCCAATTGTTATGATATAGGTGGCTTCTCTTCTATACCTACCTTGCTAATTACACTTACCTCAGGGGACTCATGCTGTACTTCTCCTTTTGTGATTGGCTGACTTCGCTTAGCATAATTTCCTCCAACTCTTCCCATGATAAGATATGGTTCATATGCTCATCGGTGCTTTTTAGTGATGCATAGTACTCCAGTGTTTACTGATCCATTCGTCTACAGATGGAAATTTAGATTGCTTTCAACTATTTGCGATTGTGAATTGTGCTGCAGTAAACATTGGAGTGCATATAACTGGTCATGGTTTATCTCTTACTTCTTCTGGGTATATACCCAGTAGAGGGATAGCTGGGTCATAAGGTAGCTCAATTTCATCTTCTTTAAGTATCGCCAGACCTCTTTCCATAGCGGCTGTACCTATCTACAGGACCACCAGCAATGTAGGAGAGTTCTCATCTCGCCACATCCCCTGCAACATTGGTTGCTCTGATTTTCTGATTTGGGCTAGTCTCAAAGGTGTTAGATGGTATCTCATGGTTGTTTTGATTTTCATTTCTCTGATGGTTAATGATTGGGAGCATTTTCTCATACATTTATTGGCCATATAGGTCTCCTCCCTAGTGAAACTTTTCAGTTCTTTTCCCCACTTCTTCAAAGGGTTAACTGTTTTCTTCTTTTTGCAGGCAAGGAGGGTATTATAGATTTTTGTAATAAGCCCTTTATCTGTTGTGTCATTGCTAAAAATCCTCTCCCAGTCTGTGAGTTGTCTTGTTCCCCTCTTGGTAAAGTATTTTGACGCACACAGGTGCTTTATCCTTAGTGAATCCTGTTTGTCAATTTCCGATTTCCCTGCCTGCGTACCCTGCCCTATTGCAGTTGGCCTTTGTATTCCCTGGGCTAAGGTTCTTAGGTTTGTCCTGATTCCTTCACTAACGATCCTGATGGTTTGGGGTTTTACTTCTAGGTCGATGATCCCCCTGAGTTTGTTCTTGTGCATGGGATGAGGTAGATATCTTGTTTCATTTTTCTACATGTGGATTTCCATTGTTTCCAGCACCACTTGTTAAATAAGTCGTTGCCCTCCCACTTGATGCTTTTGGGGACTTTGTCAAAGTCCAGTTGTCTGTATGCTAATGGTTTTATTTCTGGGTTTTCTATTCTTTTCCATTGGTCTGTGTATCTGTCATTATGCCAGTACCACACTGTTTTGACCACTGTGGCTTTGTAGTAGGTGTGAAAGTCAGGTGAAGCCAGCCCTCCGACTATGCTCTTCTTCTGTCTCTGCTAATTCTGGGCGTCTTCCCTCTCCATATGAAATTGGTGGTCAGTTTTTCCAGTTCTTTGAAGAAGTTGTTGGTATTTGAATCGGGATAGCATTAAACTTATAAAGTGCCCTGGGTAGGATAGACATCTTTACTATATTGAGTCTTCTAATCCATGAACATGGGATATTGTGGAAGTTGCTTTGGGTTTCCTGTAGTAGGGTCTTGTAGTTTTCCTTGTATAGGTCTTTTGGGTTTTTTTGGTTAGATATATCCCTAGATATTTCAGTTCTTGGCTGTTGTGAATGGTACTGCCCTCCTGATCTCCTCTTCCATCGTCTTGTCCAATGTATACAGCAAACCAATCAACTTCTCTGAGTTGATCTTGTATCCTGCCACTCTTCCATATTCCTCTATCACTGACAGTACTCCAGTTGTGAAGCTTTTGGGATTTTCAATGTTCAGAATCATGTCATCTGCAAATAACGATAATTTCACCTCCTCCCCTCCCAGTTGGATACCTTTGATGTTTTTCCATTGTCTTATGCTATTAGCTAGGACCTCCAATCTGATATTGAATAGAAGTGGGGACAAGGGACATCCTTGTCTAGTCCCCTTTTTCAGTGGGATTGATTTAGTCTTTTCTCCATTGACTATGATGTCAGCTGTCGGCTTTTCATACATAGCTTGTATGAACTTGAGGAACTGCCCTTCCATTCCTGTCCTCCTGGGTGTCTTAATTAGGAATGGGTGCTGGATGATGTCAAATGCTTTTTCTGCATCAATAGATATTATCTTGTGGTTCTTATACCTTTCCTTATCAATGTGGTGTATAACATTGATGGATTTTCGGGTGTTAAGCCATCCCTGCATCGGTCAAGGAATTCTTGTATTGATTTCTATCTGGAATTTTAAAAACTACATCTGCACATTAATTTTTGTGTGTGTGAATATTCTCTCTATGCCCATTTTCCTTTATCTTTTGTAGTCTTGTTTTTTAAATACACTTATATATTATGACTCCAACCCTTTTGTAATCTTTGCTGTAGATACTTTCAATATTCAATATTTTTTCGATATTCTTCTCCAGTACCTTAAATGCAGTTATTAAATTGAATTTTTAAACAAAATAAACTATATTGCATATTATTGCAGTTAAAGTAAAATATAATGTAATTGGTTAGCCTTAAACACTAAGATGTTTTCTTTTACTGTTAGGGACCTAGAGCAAATTCCCCTTCAATGGAGTGAGATCAAACACAAGGCTGCTATTACAAAGAGGCTTTTATTGTGCTAGTTTAAGCCAGGGCTCTAGTCCTTAGGTGCTTCACACGCGCACCATCTTGGGCTGGAGCCTCGAACGAAAGAAATTCCAAAGTATTTATTTACAAGGTATACGTAATGGGGCGTTCCCAGGCCCCCTCCCGTCAATCCACTGATTGGCTCACTTGAGGTAGGTTGGCCGTCTGGTCCTTTGTGTAGTTCCCGCGCTGGCCGGGTTGTCCTCCCTTTGGGGTTGGGCTCGTCTTGCTGCTCCCGGGTTGGCTAGCCTCAGTTTCCGGGTATGTCCTACTTGGCACTGCGAGGAAACATGAAACCACAGCCTGCCCGAGATCGTGGTACCAGCCACGGAGGCAAGCTGGCTTTACAATCCCCCCTCTTTTGTTTCTATGAGCATTCCTGCTCATAGCCATGACCTTGCATTTCTATGGAACTCTGGAACGGATTTTGATTAAGTTCATTGTACTGTTGTCGAAGAATCATTAATTGGACTGTACTTATGCATTCACGCACAAAGGTCACTAGTTTGTTTATTATGCAGGGACCGAATGAGAGAATGCTTAAGAGAATGGGGAGGGGGCCCAACAAGGTGGATATTAAGGTAGTCATCCAGGGGGACCGGTTGAACCAAGACTCGTACCAGGTTGACTTTCTTCACGTTCTCGCTTCCGCTTCGCTGATCCCTCTCTAACTTTGGCCGTAGATCCTTTCACCACCCCGAATGGTCAGCATAAAAACAGCGTTCTTCCCTAGGGCAGCACACAACCCGCCGTGTTGCAGGAAAATTAGGTCTAGCCCTCTTTGGTTTTGTAACACTACCTCTGATAGAGAGGTTAATGATTGTTCTAGGTGAGAAATGGAGTCTTCTATTCTAGCAATATCTTCATCTATGGCCATTCGGAGGCCCCTTAACCCTTGGTGTTGGGTAGCTACGGAGGAGATACCCGTACCAGCCCCTATGAGGCCTAGCCCGAAGAGTGTGGCAAGGGTGATAGCAGTCACAGGTTCTCTTAGCTCTTTCGTTGCCACTGAATTCCCGTTTTGCACCTGAGTCACATACATTTCATTTTTAGAGTGGTAAATAACTTGGAAAAACCAGTACCATAATACAGAATTCTTTAGAGCTATTAAAGACAGACAGACTAAGGCAGGATGTCAGACCAGCTTGGGAGCAAACCCATCAGCTGTTAGGGGCTGGTAACAGCCATTTTAAATTATAGTTTATATTTATATAAGTTTCAACACAAAGGGGAGTTTATTCTGAGGGGGCTTTTCCCACACAGGTTCCATTTCCGGTCACTGAATTGTAAGTCCTGCCCCAACCCGTTCCCAGGCACATGTAGTTGGGGACTCTTGGGCTAAGTAATTGAAAGTCCCTTTGATTCCTACTGCTTCGTAAAAAGGGGGTCGGATGTCATAACATAACCAGCAACCTGCTGTAATACCGGGGTCGGAGCGGTTTAGAGCTTCATATGCTGCCGTTAACATTTTCCACAAGGGGTCTTCTGCCCCGTGTACCCTAGGGGCCAACCGGGTCCTTGGTGTGGTTTCTAAGGCCCCTATACGTGGTTGTGGGATGACATTCGGAGGTTGAGATAGCAGGTGATGTTCCCTTCCCCCCACCCCCCCAGCACTGGGTTTGGTCCTACAACCCCCGAGATAGGGGAAACTTTTAGCTTAAGTTGTATTACAGTACCATACCAAAGGGAGGACGCTGATGGAGGTATATTCCCCACGATAATCCTGAGACCCATCGTCTGTCCTTCTTCCCTTCCTCAGTGAATTTTACACGTATAAGATTACAATTGTAGTTATACCGCGATAGTGAACACGGCTGGACATAAGACATTTCAATGAGGAGGGGTTGTACCTTCCATTCCCCGTCATTGGAGGTTACACACTCCCAGACTGCGCAATAGAGGGCGGACTCGATTCCCCCACACGCGCGTCTCATTTCCCCGGTTCTAAACCCCGGACATGCATAAAACCCATTTCGGCACCTGGATACTCGTTGCTTTTCATGCCAAGTCTGTCCCCTACCTCCTGCGCGCCCATATCCCCTCTCATAAGTGTGACAATGCGCAGGTCTCCGGGGAGTTGTTCCAGATTAAAATAAAGGTCCGGCCACCAGGTGTTGGGAGGTGGTACTCTAGATGTTTGGTTGTACACTTCTCCTGTCTCTAGATTGTCGATTCTCCAAGTGAGGTTGTAGGGTATTGTGGGTTCCTATTGGGGCCGCCCCTTACCTGCACCCAGAACCAAAAGGCCGCCACCACCAGCAGTCGGCTGCCGGCCATCTCCCTACTGGTTGGTTTTAGGCCTTATGTGGGTGAGCTTCACTTTTAGGGGATTTTCTGGATGAGCCTCTGCTTTCCAGTGATCCTGCTGCAGCTCTCTCGTTCCTGCTGGAAAGCCGTGAGAGTGGTGAATCCAGGTTCTACTCCGTCGACCTTAAGAGCAGTGGGGGTAACAAGAATTACTTGAAAGGGGCCCTTCCACCTAGGTTCTAGGGACTTATTATGTTGCTTGACCCAGTCCCCGTGCTCGTGCTGGTGAAAGGGGACCCCCCTGATGGCCTTCCTGTTTATTTTTATAGACGGTCTGACGAGCGGGCCATATTTGGTCCTGTAATCCCTCCCCCGGGCCTCCTTCCGGCAGTGGATATATGCTTGGAATTACTGGCAGAGGGGATCCCTACATAATTTCGAAGGGGGTCAAGCCCAGGTGATACGGCGCGTTCGGGCTCGGAACAGGGCGAAGGGAAGGGGGGTCACCCAGTCCCCGCCAGTCTCTAGGCACAATTTGGCTAGAGTCTCCTTCAAAGTTCTGTTCAATCTTTCTACCTCTCCAGAGCTTTGGGGATTGTCAGCACAATGCAATGTCCAATCAGTCCCCAGCGCTCTGGCTGACGTTGCTTACAAGAGCCGGACCGTTGTCACATCCTATGCTTTCTGGAAACCCATTCCTAGGGACAACTTCTTCTAGGAGTTTCTTTGCCACCACCACTGCAGTTTCCTTTTTTGTTGGAAACGCTTCCACCCACCCTGAGAAGGTATCTACCATTACTAGCAAGTATTTATACCCATACTTCCCTGGCTTTACTTCAGTAAAATCTATTTCCCAAAACAACCCTGGTTTCCTTCCCCGATCCCGAGTACCTGTGTGGGTTCCCTTGGTTTTTCCCGGTTTCATAACCTGGCAGGCCTCCGCAACATTCTCCACCGCTTTTCTCTGCAGCTGGAACTTGAGGCAGCCGGATCCGATAGTTGCAACATTTTTCCTTTCCCCAGGTGCGTGGTTTGGCGTAGATGCTTTAACACGCGATTTCTATCGAGTAATTTTCGTTGTCCCTCAGCCAGCCGCTTTCGTCTTTGCCTTTAGCTCCTTTTCCGCCCAGACCCAATCTGTATTGGAATACTCCGGTCGCGGAGGTATTTTTCCCATGGGTGGGGGGTGGGGGGGCAGGCCCAAATGTAAGACTTCCGCCCGCTCGGGTCCATTTGTCCGCCGCACCTCTAGATCTGCTGCCCGGTTTCCTCGGGCCTCCAGGGAGTTCCCCCTCTGGTGGCCAGGCATGTGTACTACCGCTACTGCCTTTGGTAACATGACGGCGTCTAGCAGCTGCAAAATCTCGGGCTTGTTCTTTTTTTCCCTTCTGCTGTGACAAATCCTCTCCCGTTATAGCACCACTGTAATATGAATCGTCGCGAACGAATAACGGCTGTAATCAGCATGAGTGTTTTTCCCTTCACATGCCAGAGAGCCTTGGTCACTGCCACTATCTCTGCTTTTTGGGCTGAGGTACCAGGAGGGAGCTGGGATGCCCAAATTAGGGTTCCCTGTGCATCTATGATCACAGCTCCCGCATGGCGCCTACCCTCCTTAGCGAAACTACTTCCATCTGTAAACTACACCAGATCACTGTTTGGGAGGCGCTGGTCTTTGAGGTCTTTTCGTACCATTTGGACGTCAGCCAGGATTTCCTGGCAGTCATGCTCTGGCTTCCAGGGCGTTGTATCTGGCACGAGCGTCGCTGGGTTTAAATTCGTAGGTGAGGTAAAAATAATTCGGGGGTCATTTAGCAACAGCCCTTGATAATGGGGCAGTCTCGTGTTCGTAATCCAGCATCCTGGGGGTTGCTTTATGAGTCCCTCGACCGCATGGGGAGTGGTAATTTCTAAGGGCTGCCCCAGTGACAGCTTATCTGCATCTTTTACTAATGATGCTGTAGCCGCTATTCTGTGGAGGCATGCCAGCCATCCCCAGCTACAGGATCGAGTTGTTTTGATAAGTATGCTACCAGTCTTTTCCACGGTCCCAGTCTTTGGGTGAGCACCCCTTTCGCCACTCCTTGCTTCTCATCTACAAATAGCTGAAATTCTTTTTCCGGATCTGGAAGGGCTAAGGCAGGAGCCTTCAGCATCGCGGCTTTTAAGGCCTGGAACCCAGTCCATACAAAATCCTGACCACTTTTACATCCTTCATATAGAGGTCTGGCCTTTTCTGCAAACCCAGGGATCCACAAGCGGCAATATCCTACCGACCCCAAGAATTCTTGGACTTGCCGGCATGAGGTAGGAGGGGGTATATTTAACACAGTCTTTTTCATGGCCTCGGTTAGCCACCTTTGCGCCCACCTCAGTTTATATCCCAGATATGTGACTTCTTCCCTGCCAAGTTGGGCCTTTTTTGCACTTACACGATATCCCAGCCTTCCCAAGGTTCTTAGCAAGTCAGTGGGGGAAGGGGCTGAAAGTAACAAATCATCTACATATTGCAACAAGGTACTATGGGGGTGGCTGGATCGGTACTCACTCAGATCTTTGTGGAGGGCTTCATTGAAGATTACAGGCGAATTTTTAAAACTGAACCAAGCGCGCCCAGGTAGCCTGGCCCTGGATTTCCAGCTCATCATCCTGCCACTCAAAAGCAAAAAGCTCCTGGCTGCATGAGGCCACCGGTATGCTGAAAAAGGCATCCTTCTGGTCTAACATGGTGTACCAGGTTTGAGGGGGAGGCAAGGAGCTTAATAAGGTGTAGGGGTTAGGTACTGTAGAGTGGATGTCTAGCTCACGGTTGTTAACTTCCCATAAGTCTTGGACCGGCCTGTAGTCCCCGGTGCCCATTTTTCTTAACGGCAATAAGGGGGTGTTCCAGGCCTACTGACACTTTCGCAAAATTCCTTCTTTAAAAGTTGGCGAATGTGGGGCCGGATTCCTTCTCGTGCCTGAAGAGCCATGGGGTACTGACGGACACGGACTGGCTTGGCCCCTGGTTTCAGTTCAGTGAATACAGGTGGCCTGTGTTTGGCCCACCCAGTTCCACCCATCTCCGCCCAGGCCTCTGGGAATTCTTGGAGCCACCATGCAGTTCTTTGTTCTCACTATATTTTACAGGCTCAGTCTAGACTCATTGGCCCGCTGCAGGGTAAGGACGTGAAGAACCGTGGGGTGGGGGGGTGTTCTAGCGGGAATTTCTTTTGGTCTCTCCCAATGGGTCGCCCAAGACTGTCTGTGACAGTTACTTGTTTTTCTTCTAAATGGATTTGAGCTTTTAACTTGGTTAAGATGTCTCTTCCTAGCAAGGGGGTTGGGCATTCAGGAATCATCATGAAAGCCTGGCTCACCTGGCCTGTCCCCAGATCCAGCTTACACCGGGTCATCCATTGATAGGGTTTTGTTCTGGTTGCACCCTGCACCCAGCTGGTTCTAGCGGCTAATTTGCCAGTGGAATGTGTGATCACGTAGTGCTCTGCTCCGCTATCCACCAGGAAGTCTATTGGTCTCCTGTCGAAAAGTAAGGTTACCCTGGGCTCAGGGAGGGGAACCGAACCCCGAACTCCCTAATCACTGTCCTCCTGCCCAACTAACAAACCCTGCTTAGTCTTCCTATCATCCCCCCCTGGGACCTTGTTATACTTTCTTTTAAAAGAGGCCTTCTTTTTTCCTCACATTCCCTGGCCCAGTGTCCCTTCTTACAATACGCGCACTGATCTCTGTCTAGTCTCTCCCTGCGAGGCGTTCCTGTTCCCTTCTCTGTCTTTCATGCTCCGTGGCTGCTAGCAGAATACGGGCCATCTCTCGACTAGCCTTCCAGGGTTCCCCGGCCTGGAACTTTCTATCTTCCCTTCTAACTCTTTCGCACTGTTCTTCCGGAGTTTCCCAGTTGTTGAAAACTTTCTCAGCTACTTCAATTAAATCTTGCAATGCCTTCTCACCCAATCTGTCTATCTTTTGCACCTTCTTTCTAATATGTGGGGCTGCCCGATTCACAAAAGCCATCACCACTGCAGCCTTACTCTCCTCAGAGGTAGGATCCATGGGGGCCTATATCCTAAAGGCTTCCATAATTCTCTAAGTAGGCGGCCGGGCTTTCCTCAGGCCCCTGACATCGCCTACCTTTGCCAGGTTAGTTGGCTTGCGTGCCGCTGCCCGGAGACCAGTCATGATAATCTGGCGATAGACCCAGAAATGCTCCCTACCTTCAGCCTCGTTGTAATTCCAATCTGGGCGCTCCAGCGGGAATGCTCTGTTTATTACTCCAGGGTTGGTAGTGGGGCGGCCATCCTCTCCTGGCCTCTCCTTGGATTCTATCCTGCTCCTGTTGTGAAAAGGACTTTTAGCAGCTGTTGACAATCACCGCAGGTTGGCTGATGAGTGAACAAAACAGAATAACAAATTTATTAAGTCTCTAGGATTGTCAGAGAAATTAGAATTCTGAGCCTTCCGATTATAAAGGTCTCTGGTGGAAAACAGCCAGTACTGGTAGGTTGGCTCCCCGTCCTCCCGGGGAGGGCCCATGGCTCGCTTACAGGTCCTGAATCGGGGGACTTAACCGGTGCATTGTCGAGTTCCGAATGCCGGCCCTTCTCCAGGACGCTTTGACGCCGAAGGAGCTGCAGACAAAGCCGTGGGGTTATATGGTGGGGGAGGGTGGGTTGTCTGGTCCCAACATGAATCAAGGAAATCAAGAGGGTGGGTAGAGTCGGAAAGCACTGTCTCGGGATCTTTAGAGGGGCCTGGTGGACTGGATCTGGTCCTGCTTTCTTCTTCTGGGCAAGAAAAACCTGCGTATTCTTGGGAGGAAGAAGTTTTTGCAGCCAGGGAGGGGGTTTCTGAACCAGGTCCTGCCACACAATTATATAGGGAATTTGATCCGGGTGTTTGATGATGTTTGCTCCGAAGACAATATCTTTTACTTTCTGGATGATGGTTAAGTCAAAAGTACCTTCCCGGGGCCATCCAACCCTGAGGGCAGGCCACTGATTCACAGAAAGTTAAAGTTTTCCTTTTTTAACATTAGCAGAGATGTTAAATGCCCTATCTTTCACCTCCCTGAAATTTCCTGTAATAAGAGAAAGGGGAGTAGTTTGTGCCTGCCCTATTTTACCAGAAAGGAACACAAATAACAAAGACAACACAAGCACAACACGAAGAACAGTTACAAATAAGATGTAACATGGACGAAACATAACTAGACCACAAGGCGCCTGACCTGATTGCCGGCCCTACGGCCGACTCGGCCTCCTTTCCAAACACACGCTCCCGAGACCTACCAAGGGAACAGGAGGACGTCTCCTGTCTATTCCCGACCGGTGACCTCCACGGCACGTCCACCGAAGTCCTCTGCTGGTCACTCTCTTAGGGCCCGATTCCTGCACCATAGGGATTTCCAAAGACCTCTCTCCTTGGTCCAAGCTCTCAGTTCCACTCCAGGGTATAGCTCCGATCCCAGACGAGCCCCCAATTGTTAGGGCCCTGGAGCGATTTCCCCTTCAATGGAATGAGATCAAACCCAAGGCTGCTATTACAAAGAGGCCTTTATTATGCTAGCTTAAGCCAGGGCTCTAGTCTAGTCCTCAGGTGCTTAACTATGCGCACCATCTTGGGCTAGAGCCCCGAACAAAAGAAATTCCTAAGTATATATTTACAAGGTATATGTAATGCGGCGTTCCCAGCCCCCACTCCCGTCAAAAAATCCACCGATTGGCTCACTTGAGGTAGGTTGGCCGTCTGGTCCTTTGTGTAGTTCCCGTGCTGGCCGGGTTGTTCTCCCTTCTGCGGTTGGGCTTGTCGTGCTGCTCCCGGGTTGGGTAGCCTCAGTTTCCGGGTATGTCCTACTTGGCACTGCGAGGAAACATGAAACCACAGCCTGCCTGGGATCACGGTACCAGCCACGGAGGCAAGCTGGCTTTACATTACCCAATAGCTCAGATAGCCTTGTCAGTGGGGTGAAACTCGCCCAGGAGACCCAGCAGTGTGTTTTGTCAGGAGCATCTGGAGCATCCAGAGTTTCTTGCACAGGTGAAAAGCCCATTAAAATCGCCTGCCTGTTTCTCTAATAGACATGTTCATAACTGACTACATCTTCCCGAATTCAGCAAAATGCATCCCAAAGAAACTTCCTCTCAATCACACGTCCAGATCCTCTTATTCAGAGTTTCAGATATTCCATCCTGTTTACCGTGTGCTAGCCTGCCGCTGTAGATTGGGAAAATTTGGTCTTCGTGCATACTTTTAATTAAGTTGTTGAGTATTAATAACTGCCACAGTGTGTGAGGTCGGATACCAGATGTTTTCTATCAATAGTCCCGGCCAAGGAGCTGAAGAACTGAAGCTTATTACTTGCCCATGCTTCCTCATTTCCCAGGTTAATGGTCACACGCTTGTGCTTCTACTCTGTGGTTTTAGTGGAATCAAATAGTACTTTATTCAGTACTTGGTCTTCTCCTAAGAAGTAGTGTTTTGTTGCCCATCTTCTGGCCGTCAGACAATTTGCGGGCGATTTTAGATGAGCAGCGACTGCGCCGTCGTAAGGCGGTCAGAGACCCTTTCACTCCGTCTCAGACGCACGGCTTTGTTTGTCAGATGGAGTGCTTGAATGGTCTTTGTCACCCCACCGGTGTTGATGGGCCAAGTGTGTCACAGACCCCATGAAAACTGAACTATCTTTTATGTATCGTAAAAGAAAGTGTCCAGTAAAGGAGTACTTTTACGAAAAATAGATATGTTAACAACATAATCCGTAGAAATTAGTTGTAGCCAATGTTGTCTCATAAGAATCAAAGAAAATTAAAAGGGACCATTTTTGAAGTACATTTATGTTCTGATTTTTAAATTTAAAAATGTGTTTGAACCAAGATCAATGTCAGGAAGAACCTTTTTGGCCCTTTAGCCCCACAATCTGCAACAGTGCCTTCCGCCCCCCACCCCCTTCACACCCACTCGCCCTCCACCCTCCCGATCTTTCCTGGCTGGAACAGCAAGCCTGGCAGCTGTGCACGCCAAGATGGCACTTACCCAGCTAGGTAGGAGCCATGGTGAGTATAAACACCTAGTCAGTATTATATCCTTATCAGAGATTTTGAATACCTTTAGATCATGAGCCTATTATGAGTGTTTCTTACATCCCTTTGAAAATGGACATTTCTTTCTCAACATTGTTCTTTTAACAGAGTCAGACAGAAAAATTAGCAAAAGTTTACCAGCCCAGACGCTCAGTCTTATCTCCTAAAAGTAGTATTTCTGTTGCCCATCTTCTGGCCGCAAGACACGACTTGTCAAAGATTTTAAAGACGAGCAGCGGCTCTCTTCGAGAAAAGACTGCCTGCGCCATCAATAAGGTAAGCAGAGCACTTCTCATCTTGTCTCGAGTACAGTGTTCTTGTTTACAAAATAAGGCGGCTTCACACGTCTTTGTTGCCCTACAGGTGTTGATGGGCCGAGTGCCTGACAGAGGTGGCAGACCCAATGAGATTGAACCTCCACCCCCAGAAATGCCACCCTGGCAGAAAAGGCAAGAGGGCCCCCAGCAGCAACCAGGAGGCCGAGGAGGGAGAGGCGGTTACGAACATTCCTCATATGGAGGCCGCGGCGGCCATGAACAAGGAGGAGGGAGAGGTGGACGCGGTGGCTATGACCACGGTGGTCGAGGGGGAGGAAGAGGAAATAAGCATCAAGGAGGCTGGACAGATGGCGGCAGTGGAGGAGGCGGTGGCTACCAGGATGGTGGCTATCGAGATTCTGGCTTCCAACCGGGGGGCTATCACGGTGGCCACAGTGGTGGCTATCAAGGTGGTAGTTATGGCGGCTTCCAAGCATCATCGTACACAGGAAGTGGATACCAGGGTGGTGGCTACCAGCAGGACAACAGATACCAGGATGGAGGGCACCACAGTGATCGAGGCAGTGGGCGTGGAGGGAGAGGTGGGCGAGGAGGCCGGGGTGGCCGAGGGGGTCAGGGAGGAGGCTGGGGAGGAAGAGGGAGCCAGAATTATCACCAAGGGGGTCAGTTTGAGCAGCACTTCCAGCACGGAGGGTACCAGTATAGCCACTCTGGATTTGGACAGGGAAGACATTATACTAGTTGAGGCTACAGAACCTTACATTTTGCTAGAGCTCAAGTAATAGAAACTTAGTTTCAGAACCCTAAATCCAGAATCTCTCTTGAATTCATGTGAGCCCACAGGTGGCAGGCATAAGCATTGATAGGTCATCATTTTCAGTTCTGTCGGAATTTTTAATGGACTTACATAAAGCTGTTTATTTGGGAAATGCATCTCTCCTTTGTATGAAGAATTTTTTAAAGAGGTAATTATAAAAGTTGCCTTTAATCTTTGACCAGTAGACTAATTCCAGAGTCGGAAAATGCATACTTTTTTGAAGAAATTACTTGAATAAGTAGTTTTCACGTTTTCAATATACAGTTTTGAAAATGAGGAGTCTCCTAGATTTTTTCTTTCGATTTACAACTAGGAAATCTTCCTCGTATTAACAAACCATTTATATGTGTTTTGCTTAAAGTATTCTAATGCCTGTTTTCCAAGCACACTTCTGCCCCTGGCTGGCTGTTTTTATTCCAGAGGTTATGCCACGTTTACTTCACGATAGAACTTGTAGGTCTGTTCCTATTAAGTGAGCTCTTCTGCAGATCGCACATGCATAGCCTTATCTTGTGGGTGGAATACTGTCCCACACGCGCAACTCAAAACCTGAGACACGGCCACAATCCACCAGAGAAACAAGCAAACTACGTGTGAGCCGATAGACCATGTAGACAGATAGTGTTAAGTATAGCAACTCAAACTGACCTGCATCCATCCGAAACCAGTTCCTCCTTCCACCTTGTTGTTACTTGAAATCTAGAAGAAACAGCAAACTGAGTTTTGTTTTATGCACGAGATAATACCACTGGCTCAGCAAACACAAGTGAGTTTACTTTGGGCAGGAGGCTGTTTGTTTGTTTGGGGTTTTTTGTTTTTGTTTTTGTCCTCGTAACAGAAGACGTGCACTACCGAGGAAGAAGACAGATCGTTGCTTCCTGCAGGAGGCCCTTTATTATTGCTGCAGACAACAAAAGCCTGGCTGAGTTGACGTGTTACATTCTCCTTCACTGAAATCTTCCATGATGCTTCTGGCTGGGTTTTTGTATCCGTAACCATTGTTAAGCTGTGAAAGAAATGGCTGGAGGTGTGCGTTGTGTGCGAGATGAGCAATAAAGCACCTGTACATTCTCTCCCTGGTTTGAGTTTCATTTTAGCTGCTTCTTTCTAACAGGATTATCCTGCCACTGGAGGCACACTTGGGAGCAAAGACTTTTGCTCCCGATAAGATTTTTCAGTATGTCCTCAACAGGATTTGTAGTGAAAGGTAACCATCCGCAAATTGAAAGGGGGGCCATTTCCAAATCCACCTTTTACCGTGGGGATTTCATCAGGAGAGGCCAGCCCTTGGCACAGGGCATCATGCTTGGTAGATGGCGGGGCGGAAAAGAAGATCCCCAAGCAGATGGGTTGCCCTGGTGGCTGCAACAATGGGCTCAAACATAACCATTGTGAGGATGGTCGAGGACCATGCAGTATTTCATTCTGTACCTTGGAACTGACTGGGTGCCTAACAAGGAGGTAGAAAACTGCACCACTCAACTCTGGCCACTTGGTGTAGCTATTGCTACATACCAGGCAAAGATAAAACTGAAATGGGAGACTGGCTGCTCCCCTAAGATTTACATCCTGGATATTGGACCACTATGAGGCAGAATCCATTTGTGACAGTAGGTTTGGTTTTTGAAATTGTTCTTTTTCTCCAATTCATCCTGGCAGACCCTTTCTCAATTGTAAGGGAATTGAAATAATATGTGTTCATAAAAAGGGGTATTTTATTTTTCTGTTGGGATTTTTAGGGTAAAACACGAACTTGTGTTTTGCCATTAAGAATAACTATTAAGATAAGCACATTCTCCCAATAGTTAAACACATCTTTGAAAATCAATGTTGATCCTTTTGCTAATTTTACCTATTAGATTGTTAGCTAGCATTTACCAATCGAAAATACAAATCTTACAAATCACATTTGGAATGTGTGTAAGTCCTATCACGAAGGTTACGATCTTGAAGGCTTGTGCTCTTCAATAAGTCTATTTAGTATGTATAGGTGTTTCTTTTGTGAAAAAAAATTGCCAGGCTATCATCTTAAAAATTTCAATTTTCAGTATATTCACATGCACCTTAGCTTTTATTTTATTTATTTCATAGCCTTGCACTGCACAATGTACCTGGTATTGTGTTTCATTCTTTTGACAAATGTAATTTTTACTTTTTATGGTAATATAGTGCCTTTTCAACTGTGACCAAGTAAGGCAAATGATGCATTTCTCCTTAATGGCTCGAAATTTGCATCTTCATTTTCTGCTTCAAACTGCCATTTCCCCTCCACATGTTGAAACCACGAAAGAATTGAGACTTTCAGTTTCTCCTCTTTGACAGATTAAAGTTCTCTTGAAACAAGATATTTACTGCAAACCACCTATTGGTTTTACTACGTTAAAATCCTTAGGTTCTGTATGAAAATGTGTCTTGATCTCATGCACATTCTTAACCTTAGATTGTAATAAACAGTGACTGGGCGAAGGAATGTATAGAGTTTGTCGAAAGAAGATGAAAACATACAGTCTACTGAAGTGACCTGTGTTCGTCAAATTGAGTTATTTTTCTCAAAAAGAACAGCCTGCAGTTCCATTTAATAAACTACAATGAGAGGGAGAGGACGAGGGCAGATTGGAAGGCTTCCAGGGCCAGGTCACAGAATGCTGCACCTTCCCGTAGACCGTGGAGCCGTTCTGTGTCTGATGATAAATCCATAAAGGGATGGCATGATCATATTTAAGTTCATGTAAATCAAGTATAGAGAACAGATTTAAGGTGAACATTAGAATCTGAACACGAGTTTAATGTGTAGTGAGGATAAAAGGATAGGCTTTAGAAATAATTAGATTTTATAGGACTTCATAGGTTAGAGTGAGCAGAGAAATTCAGTCCGAGTTCTGGGGCAGTTTATTTTGCAATTGGATGATACTATATTTTGATTGAAACTAAGGCAAAAGGTTTGCTGGGGGACTCAAGATCAGGAAGAGACCTGGGGATTTGGAAATGAATGGCACCCAATAACTTTGCATTGGATCATCCATTCAGAACATGATTCTTCGTGTAAGAACAGCTTTAAAGGGAAAGAAATAATGGGTCAAGAATGGAATATTGGGGGATTTCTGGGAAGATGGCAGACCAGGGGACAAGCCTACTTTGAGAGCTCTTTCGAACATGGCTGGTTTGGTGTCTAGGTAGCCGAGTGGTAGAAGTCTGGTGAGTGAAATATCCCCCCGGGCCACCACCTCACACATTTGTCCTGAGCCGGGGCCTCGGTAATCCAGGACCCGATTCGTGGGACATCGCGGGTCACTAATCCTCCGCCAGCTACCGGAGCTGAGACTAGCTATAGCCACACTCCATCCCCAGACCGGGACCCTGCACCCAGAGTCGCTTGCCTGCACCGCTGAGACATGCACAACAATGGCGGGACCCCCTACAGCAGCTGCCCACTCGCAGGACCCCACTAGGAGAGAAGCTTCCATTTCCCATGGTTCCCCTCTCCCCACGTGGCAGCAATCTGCCCCTGGGCCTGCGTCCCTCCATTCATCCAAGCCCTGGGTAACTAACCTGCAGGCTGCCAGGGGCTGCCTGGGCGACGCCCACAAAGGACCATCCACCCCTATTGATGCCTGGGACCTCTCCACCGGCACCCCGTTTGCCAGCCCCCCACCCACGTCAGCTCCTGCTCCATTCCCGGCCTGGGAAGTGAAGCTGTGCACTTCCTGTGGGTGCAAAGCCCGCTTCTCTCCCCGACACTGCGTCTCCGCCGGAGCCCCTGTGAGCCGACCTGTGGCCGGAGCGCTAAACCCGCCTGCCGTGCATCAAAACTATGGGACACTGAAGGCAGTTATCAGAGGAAGCTTGATATGATTAAATGCCTATATGAGAAAAGAAGAGAGGTGTATGACAGATATATTAACACAAAACCTCCAAAAACTAGAACAGAGTTAGCAGAACCACCTCTCAAATAGCAAGAGAAAAGCAATAATAAATATCAGGGCAGAGTTAAATCAGTGGGAAGACAAGAGAACAATACAAAAGATAAATGCAGCTAAACGCTGATTCTACGAAAGAATTAACAAAATTGACAGTCCTCTGGCAAAGCTTACCAAGGATAGAAAGGAGCAAACATCAATAGGATGAGGGATGAAACGGACAATAACAACAGACCCCAATGAGATTAAAAGGATAATCACAAAATACTATGAAGGTTTGTATTCTAATGAATTCAGAAACATGGAAGACATGGATAAATATTTGGAAAAACAGTCTCTCCCTAGATTATCTCAGACACAGATCAAGAATCCCAACAAACCCATAGCGAAAGAAGAAATAGAGAGGATCATCAAAAACCTACTAACAAAAAAGCCCCGGGGCCAGATGGCTTCACAGCAGAATTCTACAAGCATTCAGGGAAGAGTTGACACCGGTCCTCCACAAAGTATTCCGTAACATGGAAGAGGATGGCAAACTCCCAAACTCATTTTACGAAGCCAGCATTACTTTGATACCCAAACAGGGCAAAGACCCCAAAGGTATAGAGAATTACAGACCAATATCTCTAATGAACATAGATGCAAAAATCCTTAACAAAATATTGGCCAATAGAATACAAAAGTATATAAAACATATCCACCATGACCAGGTAGGATTCATCCCAGGGATGCAGGGATGGTTTAACATCCGAAAATCCATCAATGTTCTACACCACATGGAGAAGTAAAAGGATAACAACCATATGATAATATCCATAGATGCAGAAAAAGCATTTGACAACATCCAATACCCATTCCTAATCAAGACACTCATGAAGATAGGATTGGAAGGTAAGTTCCTCAAGCTGATACAAGCTATCTATGAAAGGCCAACGGCCAACATCATAGTCAACAGAGAAAAAACAAAAACAATCCCACTGAGAAACGGTACAAGACAAGGATGCCCCCTGTCCCCACTTCTATTCAATATTGTTTTGGAGGTTCTGGCTAACAACATAAGACAGTGAAAGGACATCAAAGGGACCCAAATGGGAGAGGAGAGGGTGAAACTATTGCTATTTTCAGATGACATGATCCTGTACATTTAAAACCCCCAAAGCTCCACAGTTGGAGTACTTACAGCGATAGAGGAATATGGAAGAGTGGCAGGATACAATATCAATAAACAGAAGTCAGTAGGCTTTCTATACACATCGGACAGGACCATGGAAGAGGGGATTAAGAAGGAAGTACCCTTCACAGTAGCTAAGAACAAACTGTAGTACCTAGGAATATATTTAACAAAAAATACTAAAGACCTATATAAGGAAAACTATAAGACCCTACTACAGGAAACCAAAAGCGACCTCCACAAATGGAAGAAGGCTTAACATAGTAAGGATGACAATACTACCTAAAGCACTTTACAAGTTCAATGCTATACCAATGCAAATACCATCAACCTTCTTCAAAGAATTGGAAAAACTGACCACCAATTTCATATGGAGAGAGAAGAAACCCAGAATTAGCAGAGAACTCCTCAAGAAGAAGGACACAGTTGGAGGACTCGCCTTACCCGATTTTAATGCCTATTACACAGCTACAGTGGTCAAAACAGCGTGATACTGGCACAACGACCGACACTCAGACCAGTGGAAAAGAATAGAAAGCCCAAGAATAAAACCATCAGCATATAGACAACTGATCTTTGACAAGGGTCCCCAAACCATCAAGTGGGAAGTGGATGCCCTTTTTAACAAGTGGTGCTGGAAACAATGGATATCCATATGTAGAAAGATGAAACAGGACGTTTACCTCACCCCATGCACAAGAACAAGCTTAAAGTGTATCACAGACCTAGAAGTTAAACCCCAAACCATCGGGACCATCAAGGAGGGAATTGGGACTAACCTCAGAGCACTGGCCCAGAGAACTAATAGGCTCACTGCAATAGGGATGGGTACACACGCAGGTGAACTGGAAATCGACAAATGGGATTTAATAAGAATCAAGTACCTGTGCACCTCGAAAGACTTCACCAAGAGGGTGACAAGACAACCCACAGACTGGGAGAGGATTTTTAGTAATAACACATTGGACATAGGGCTCATTACTAA